CAAAAAAAAAAAAAAAAAAAAAAAGAACTTTATTTTATATTTAACATTTGGTAAGGAATTTCGATGTGACCCTGAGGCAAAATTTGTTCAGTTTATTTTTTGCATCTGCGTCGTGAAATCAGACTGCACTCCAAACTTGCTTACAACATGCATACACGCAGCTGATGGGAAACCAAACTCTTTCAACTCAGAATCAACATCGAACGTGCACTTAAACTCTGTTCAAGTCAACTGTACAACTCGTGGCTATGGCCGCCGAACACTGTCTCCACTACCAGCCTCACTCTCCCTCATGCACGCATGTACGAGGATCTACCCTGAATGTCCACGCTACACAGACACACACACTCTGTACACTCTGTCTGTGACAACAGCTGGGCGGCTATGGCCGCCGTCGTCTTCCTCCTCCTAGCTATGGCCGCCGTCGTCTTCCTCCTGGCCAGCTATGGCTGTCGTCTTCCTCACTGCCCACTTCAGCTCCGGGCACCTGCAGACCTCCACTCACAAATCACCAAGGCAGCACTTCCGCATGGCTCACAGGCGAATGAATAATCGTTGGCTGGACGCTGCCTCTTTATTTATACTTCTTCGGAGGTGGCCAGGCCCTGCCTCAAAACGCGTGGGCCTCGGCCAAAATGCGTGGGCCTGGCCCCTTACCGGGTGGGACCCGGGTCTGGAATCTTCCAGGCCGCGTAGGCCTGGTAGGCCCAAAACGCATGGGCTTTCTGGGCCAAAACGCGTGGGATGCTGGGCCCCAAAACGCGTGTTCCGGACCCTTCTGCATACCGCGTGTCAAAAAACCTTCCCCCACATGCAGCCCTTCTCTGATACTTGCTGACTGGACCGGCCTACAGGGACCTAGAGCCTTCTAGAGCCTAGAGACCTACGGACTGACTCTAGGCCCTCAGTAGGCTCAGGTAGAGACTTCTAGAACAGACCTCCCTAGGGCTACTGGTAACAGACTTAACTACTAACCTACAGACCTAGGGATCGAGTCCACCTACCCGACCTACAGCCTAACCTATGACACAGAACAGGTCTCAGGTTCGAATCCCACACAGGCACCAAGTCAATGTACAGGGTGCAGACACAGGTCTAGGGATCGAATCTCACTCATCACACAGGGTCAATGTACAGGGTTCAGGCACAGTTCTAGGGATCGAATCTCAGTGTCTGCAAATGCCGGGTCAACTGGGTGAAACCGTTTCAGTAGCATGGTGTTTGCGTTCGGAGGTGAACCCAAACATGTTCGCCTGAATGCGAACTAGCGCGCAAAACCCTCCGAACGCGAACATAAAAAAATATATATTTTCAAAAAAAGTCTCAGAAAAATGTGAAAAAAATATGTCATGTACAACAACAATACAAACAACTTTTGCCTTGGAGCCATGCTCAAATTCTTAGCCAAACGTGAGTTAAAAATCAAAACCCGAAAAAAAAAACCTTCAAAAAAGAAGATAATTTTTTTTTTTTAACGAAAAAAAAAAAATGTTCGCCCGAACACGTTCGCGAGCTGTTCGCGCGAACGATTGAACACGTTCGGGCGAACACGGAGGGGCGCGAACACGGAGGGGCGCGAACACGTTCGCCGTGTTACACAGTTTTGCGTAATGTTTTTTTTTTTCAGATTTTTTCTAGGCTCCAGAGTGGCCCGGGGTCACTTGCGTGGTCGGGCCAAAAAAAAAAAACATTTTTAAATTTATTTTTTATTTTAAATTTGGTGAAGAATTTCGATTTGACCCTGAGGCAAAAGTTGTTCAGTTTATTTTTCTGAATAACATAGTTTTTTTTGAAATTTTAGGATTTGTTTTTTTTTTTTTTTTTTGCTGGGACCTTCCTTGGTCCTTGCACGGGCTGGCCACCCGGGACCCGGGCGGCCTGGCTGGTGGCCTAGGATTTTTTTTATTTATTTATTTTTTTTCTGTGCTGGGACCTTCGTTGGCCCCTGCACGGCTGGGTCGCCCGGGCAAACAAGGTGACCCGGGCAAATGAGGAAATCAGTTAGAATGGGACATTCACCAAAAAAAAAAAAAAAAAAAAAAAGGAAAAAATTTTAAAAAACTTAAAAAAGGACATTCAGTGGATGACGGCGATGATCCTGATGCGAGTTCCATGTTACAGGCTGGTATCAGGGGCGGTTACGAGGACTGTCGTCTGTGAAGCACAGGGAAGAAAACTCAAGAAATGCATGTTTCAGTTCTCTTGATTGTTGTGTTTGTGCCACCTGTAAGTGTTGCTTGCGGCCCGTTGTGTCTGTTACCCCTGCCTGTCGTGTCTGTTCTTGCCGCCTGTCATTTCCTGCTGCTGCCCAGCTCATTCTGCTGCTGCCTGCTGTGTGGTCTTGGAAAGAGACAAGAGGGATGCCTTACGTTTTGACATTGGAACATCCGTCTTTTTTTGGGCTCTGTATGAATTGCAAGGAATATGAGTGGGAACGATATACAGAAAGCCAAGTTGCGAAATCACACAGATGTCCAAGTAGTCATGTACAAGCAGAGAGCACAAATGCACCGAGAATCCATCCAAATAAGAGCAATACAATGAAGTCATGAGCCAATGTTCAAGCCCTCAGGCCACACCAACACAGTATCCAAAGTCTCTCCTCTCTGTCTGGCGCCCAGCGCCCAGCCTACACTACTCGACTATCCTACCTACATCAGCATTCTTGCAACAGGCTCACTTCGACTCTTGAAGACCAATGTACATGACGTCAACACCATAGCCGACCTCTCTCATGTACCAGGTACGTATCTCGTCTCCCCTCATCAGACCCTGTCCACCCACACTCGTCTCCTTCCTGAAGACCACCGATCACCCTCTCACACCCTAGCGCCCTGCAGCCCGGCTATGGCTGCTAGCGCTCCGCTGCCCAGCAGCGCCCCTCTTCACCTCACAAGCGCCCGCACACGCCCTGGCTGCTAACGCAGCATGCAGCGTCTCGCGCAGCAACGCAGCAGTGTGACGGCATTGCCTGCGTGGGCCAGCATGCCAGACCCTGGCTGCCCTCCTTCCTATATGGAAGTGGCAGCCTCTGCTTGGCTGCGTGTGGCCTGGCTGGGAAGCTTCCAGTAGCTTCTGGTCGGGCCCCAGTACCTGCGCCCAGGCCCAGTGCTACAGTTGAGGGCCTGGGCCCTTTACAGTTGGACATGGCCTGAGTCTCCAGACTT